ATTCATGAACTATTTGCTCAAGTGATAATTACTTGTGTAAGCAGATATTCAAGGCATATGTAGAAGATCAAATATCTTGTGGTTGTTAACAACTTTAAAAGGTTGAGTTCCTCAGCTTTTTTTTTTCAGTAGGGCTGTAGGATATATATCTGTATATATATGGGATACCTAACAGTTCAGTAACTGAGAAAACAAGCAAGAAATACAGCTCTATAGAAATACCAAAACACTGAGTCATACAGGGTGGGACTCAGCTCCTGAAGTGGTCCAAAACCTCCACATGGGCTTGGTGGATACTTCAGAGTAATTACTTGAGACTGACAAAGCAGCTGGCAGCCAGGGAGGTTATTGTAATGAACCCTGTATCTGTTTTTACACAATTAAATGCTATTTGAACTGAAAATTGGCAAGATATGGCAGAACTTCCTCAAATATCAACTCAATGAGTAAATAGAATGACTTTCTAACATAATGTATAGTTCAGTGATATGTTACCTAAACATACACATCTTTATTGGTATTTAGCATTATTCCCCTAAAAAGAGTCAGCAATTGTCTAAATAGCTGTATAGCAGTATATAAAGCACCGTATTAAGGAGAAATAATAGGAAGTATTGTCCTGAATACCATTCCTGGGAAGAAAGACTGAGATGCTTCAGTTCCGAGAAATCATTTTGGATCCTGTAAATAACAATTCCCTTGAATATAATCACAGGATGAATTTGGTAGTCTATGGGAAATGTTATTTGTCAAACTAATTTGTTAAACTGGTATGTGGCCATTTTCTTTGGTTATTTAGCTGGGGTCACAAAATAAAATCTTCAAACTGCTTAATAATCTGCTCCTATAGTTGGGTTAATTCTCAAGGTCTTTCTTTATTACCAGGAAAAGAAATAAATATAGTGCTTTCACCAAAAAGTGGAAGGGCTGAGCTATTGTGACTGATCACACAGATGAAGAAAAGCTTGTGCCAGATGCAAGTTGAGCCTGGTGCAAATTAGGGACCAACATACAATTGTCACAATTGTTACAGAGTAATCTACCATCCATTTGTCCTGGTTTCAGCTGTAACAGTTATTTTTTCTTCCTAGTAGCTGGTGCAGTGCTGTGTTTTGGCTTCAGTTTGAAAACAATACTGATAACACACCGATGTTTTAGTTGTTGCTCAGTATCCTGATCAAGGACTTTTCAGTCTCTCATGTTCTGCCAGTGAGGAGGAGCGCATGAATGCAGGAGGGAGAAGACACAGGACACCTGACCCAAACTAGCCAAAGGGGTATTCCATACCACAGCACATCATGCCCAGTATATGAACAAGGGGGCGTCACCAAGAAGGGACCTATTGCTGCTTGGGTTGGGCTGGCTATCGGCTGGAGGGTGGTAGCAGTTGCATTGTGCCTCATTTGTGGTTTTTGAGCTTTAATTTCTTTTCTTGTTTCCTACTATTATTATTATTATTGTTTGTATTCTTTCTATTATCAATATTGTTTACATTATTTTAGTTACTAAACTGTTCTTATCTCAGCCTTCACACTGCACAGGTTTCAGTTTAAACAACCATTACATACAAGTTAGATGGAACTGAAATTCTTATGAAAAGTTACTACCATGATTATGGAAAAACATATAAGACGTACTTCTGTTACATGTGAATACGTGTTCCCATTTAAAAGCAACATGCACTAACTGAAGCATTTTATATAATTGAATAAAAAATTTACCTCCAAACTGAAATATTTTTTCTTTTTTTCTCCTTTGAAACACCCTTCTTTTTTCTTTTCTCCTTTGATTGTCTTTTTTTTCATAGCAACTGAGCTAAAATGCCATTAAAATTAAAAAGGGCAAGAAGGAGGACCCGGGTAACTATAGACCGGTCAGCCTCACCTCCATCCCTGGGAAAGTGATGGAACACCTTGTCCTTGGTGCCATCTTAAAGCATATCAAGGATAAGAGGGTTATGAGGGGCAGTCAACATGGCTTCACCAGGGGGAAATCATGTTTGACCAATCTCTTAGCCTTTTATGAGGAAATAACACGGTGGATGGATGATGGCAGAGCGGTGGATGTGGTCTACCTTGACTTCAGCAAAGCCTTTGACACAGTCTCTCACAGCATCCTCACGGCTAAATTGAGGAAGTGTGGACTGGATGACCAGGTAGTGAGGTGGACTGCGAACTGGCTGAAGGAGAGAAGCCAGAGAGTTGTAGTCTATGGGGCTGAGTCTAGTTGGAGGCCTGTAACTAGTGGAGTGCCTCAAGGGTCAGTACTGGGACCAGTATTATTTAATATATTCATCAATGATTTAGATGAGGGAATTGAGTGTACCATCAGCAAGTTTGCTGATGACACTAAGCTGGGAGGAGTGGCTGACACGCCAGAAGGCTGTGCTGCCATCCAGCGAGACCTGGACAGGCTGGAGAGTTGGGCAGGGAATAACGGGATGAAATATAACAAGGGAAAGTGTAGAGTCCTGCATCTGGGCAGGAACAACCCCAGGTTCCAGTATAGGTTTTGACGACCTGCTAGAGAGCAGTGTAGGGGAGAGGGACCTGGGGGTCCTATATTGAGCCAACACTGTGCCCTTGTGGCTAAGAAGGCCAATGGCATCCTGGGGTGTATTAGAAGGGCGGTGGTTAGTTGGTCGAGAGAGGTCCTCCTTCCCCTCTACTCTGCCCTGGTGAGACCCCATCTGGAATATTGTGTCCAGTTCTGGGCCCCTCAGTTCAAAAGTGCTGAGAGTCCAGCGCAGGGCAACCAAGATGATTAAGGGAGTGAATATGGGTCTTTATAGTTTAGAGAAGAGGAGACTGAGGGGTGACCTTATAAGTGTCTATAAATATATAAAGGGGGAGTGTCTACTTTAGGACAAGGGGTAATGGGTGCAGGAACACAAGAGGTTTTAAACTTGAGAAGGAACTTCTTCTCAGTTGACGGAACACTGGAACAGGCTGCCCAGGGAGGTTGTGGAGTCTCCTTCCCTGGAGACATTCAAAGCCCGCCTGGACACATTCCTGTGTAACGTTATCTAGGTGTTCCTGCTCTGGCAGGGGGATTGGACTAGATGATCTTTTGAGGTCCCTTCCAATCTCCAGCATACTGTGATACTGTGATACTGTGAAAATACGAACTTACAATGGAAACACTGACAGATCCTTAAATATAGTAGAGTGAAGAATAAAACTGTAATAAGAGCCTGTCAAAACTGAAAATGAAGGAGTCTGAGAGACCAGAGGAATATTAAAACATGTCCATTTCTATGTTTTTGAATGATGATATTTTTAGATTTAAGTGCTCTATGAGTTTCCACTAATTGCATAGCAAAGTGTGACAGATGGAATATGTAGGTATACAGGAAAACTACTTTAGCTCAGATTTCAGTATTAACCTAAAGGTAGGTAAAAGGCAATAGTTTCAGGCTTCCCTGTGTCTCTGTCTAGCAACACTATAGCAATCCTGTATTAGTATTTGGAATTTAATGTTCCTATACCAGATGTCTTTCTTCTCTCTGGCTTCCTTCACAGCTGTTGAATGTTAGAGAAACATAACTGAAAGAACACAAAATGTTGCAAACAGGTAAAGGCAAAACTTCACAGGCTGAGTTCACTGCCTCATGTACTATGTTACACACAGCTCAAACACTTTGTCCCCTCCAGTGAATTTATCCTTGGTTTAGTACCTACAGACAATGATTCTTAAAGGGCATTATTTAGTGTCTTCCTGTTCTTCATAGGTCAATGTGCAACTTGAAGTCTTATATCCACAGGCCTACAAAATCATGATTTCCTTGTTAATATTTCTCCATGTTTTTAATGCCTGATAGCTTCACAAATATTTGTCTTCCTATTTTCAGTGTCCACTTTTTTGATATGTGATATTTAAAGACTGACTGTCAGAGCTCATACTATTAACATCCAGTACTTCATTGTTCGATGTGCAGCTCCTACAGGCTTCTCTATTGGCTGCACAGGCACACGTTACTGTGTGAATGAAGAACATGTCAAGGCGGCAGTAACTTTGCTACACAGCACTAAACAGCAGGCAAGTTTTGTATGAGTAACAGCTCCATTCTATGAATTTTAGTGTCCAAGAAGGTTTGTGGCAAACCTGAACAGAGAATGTAACATGTCATGGAATAAATATTGATACTTTACTATATGGCCATATTTATTATAGATAAGAGCCTCCCAGCTGATCAACACACTGATCAACTAATACACACTCTGATGGGAAGGAATAAGGAGACAGCTAAACTCTTCTCAGTGGTGCCCAGTGACAGAAGATGCAATAGGTACAACTGACATAAAGGTTATCCTTGGAGGCACTAAAAACTTTACTGGACACAACCTTGACCAAGCTGTTCTAGCTGACCTGATCTGAATAGCGGGGTTGAACCAGATGGTATCCAGAGGTCCATGCCATCCTCAGCTGTTCCATGACTCCTTGACATCATATGGAATAAAAAGATTTTACCAGCTGGCAATCAATAAAAAAGCAACCACGACGTATACTGCAGGAATAAGGATTTTAAGGTTTGTATCCTGGCCAAATCCAGGCCAGGCTATTGCACTCAAACTATTTAAAATTCCCTCTGCTGATTAACCTGACCAAAATTAAGTACAAGGAAGAAGTTATTTACTGTGAGAAATGTGAGACACTGGCGCAGGTTGCCCAGAGAAGTTGTGGCTGTCCCATCACTGGCAGTGTTCAAGGCCAGGTTGGACAGGGCTTTGAGCAACCTGATCTAATGGAAGGTGTCCCTGCCCATGTCAGGGTGTTTGGAACTGGATGATCTTTAAGGTCTCTTCCAACCCAAACTATTCTATGATTCTGTGAGGTTTTCTTCATCCTACCTCCAGAACCCTTCAAACAGAAATTGAATGCAGGGAACTAACTATAGGAAAAGCGGCTGCATTGAAGTGGCAGGTGTAGTATTGTTACCATTTGTCTTCCTCACAGAAATGTTTAAAACATTGAGGTCCTGAGGAAGAGTTAACCTTTGACCTGGGTGGATGAATATAAGCAATTGTACAATGGACAGAGACTGGCACTGCTGTTCTGCTCACGGTGGTCTATTGTGAATATGACCTTCAGAGACTGCTAATGTTCTGCAAAGCTTATTCTGGCAGAAGGAGAAAGTTTAGGCTGTGCCATATGGAAAGGGAGCAGTCAATAAATGCAGAGCTAGATTATCAGTGCATACATGTATGTTTAGACATCACTGAATTTAGGGGGTTTTTTAGACTACATATTAATCCACACACAAATTCAGATATACAAGAAATGTTGATAAAATAGGTATTATTATTAGATAAGCTTCAAAACGAAAAGGAACAAAAGCAAAATAAAGCAGCACAGAATTAGCACTATGAAAATCCCGTGTCCTCAGTTACCTATTTGTTGGTTTAATTGTGCCTTTTTCTTTTTTTTTTTTTTAATTTCTTGGTGGTCTGAATGGAGAAGAAAAACCAAAGACTGAACAGAACTCTTTGCACTGCTAGAGCACTTTTGATTGATTTTATTTTAACTATAATTAATGGATATGGAAATAATGAGTTAAGAGTGAAAAGTCAATATAATTTTAATGAGAAAATATTTTAGAAGCAGAAGAAAGAAAAGAACAGATGAGCAAAGACTTATAATGCTTTTTAATACCTAATACCTATGACTCTTCAAGCATATCTGTTTAAACATCAGCTTTAGTCACTACTATTGGATAATCTATACAAGAAATGCAGATGGCTTTAAGAAATCAATGAAAACAGGGATTACAGTTTATGGATTAATGGCTAACAAAAAAATGTGCATGATTAGAAAATACCTGCATTTATGGAAGCCTGAAAACAGGGACTGAAATAATTTATAAAAAATGTTTGTCCAGAATTTAATCATTGACTTTATTAGCATTGCTCATTATTTATATCGATGTAACTGACAGCAGACTCCAGTTTATTCTACTGCGTATTATAAAGTTTACTGTCTACATAAAATAATAATAACTATCACTTTTGTTGTCTTCTTTTAGCTTGATATTATATAAGTTTAATGAAATATTTAATTGAAAAGTCTTCACTCTCTGATCTGAATTGTCTGGGTCTGAGTCTTGTTTAGAAGTTGAGGCTAATATAGTAAATGAGTGGTTGATTACAAATTAAGAAGTATCTGATTGGAATATTTCAGAAATCTCACAAAAATGTTAGTCAATCACCATCTTGCGCAAGGGCCCAACTCTTCCTATTTAGGATCTAAATCAAAGTTTCATCAAAACATTTTATTACAAACCATAGACTTACTTTTTCAGACTTGGATTCCAATCTAATACACCTCTCTATAAAATAAAGACTACTTATGAGCTAAAAAATTCAAAAATTACTTACAAAATTCTTATGGACTAAAGACCTTGATGTTCAAATCAATAACCAGAGTATAGTTTATTGCAGGCTTCCACAAATGGCTCACAGTCATCTATAAGTCTTTGAGGTACTATAGTCCAGGGAAAAGTGGTTAGTAAAGATAGTTAATTTTAATTATTATGAGATGACTAATGAAATGTGCAGCTTAAATACAGTTTTGTACCTACACAATTCCCATTGCTGTTGTGCTCAGGTGTGTTCTAATTCCAATTCCAATTAGAACATTAGTATAGCAATAGGTTTTTTCCCTCCTCTTAACTTTCAGGTGAAAATACTGATGAACTTACATTTGTTTAAATGCATTAACAACACACAACGATATATGAAAGAGACTTGAATTTTACATGTAGTTCCTTTCAAATGCTGATAGTGATCACTAAATGTCCTATATCAGTAAGCTTCACAGACTATGCCTTGTTCTTTGGAAGTTTTAATCATCTGCATATTAGTTCTCCAGTAGCATATATTTTATTTAATTAAAATGTGGCTTTTGCAGTGGGCCTTGATCTTTACATCTGGTTGCTAGAATGAATTGTGAATACCTTGGAATCTTTATTAAATAAGTATGTTTCTATAGGAATAATCTCATTAAATTTAAAACATTTATGAGACTGTAACACCCAGAATGATACTTTTTGACAGCTAATAGTTGTGAATATCCAACTTTTTTTGCTCTATTTTATAGACCTACCGCTCATTCAGAATACAGTTCAAAAGAGCTGTTATGATATACAAGTTATAGGTATATATTGTTATAATATTCCAAGTGGAATCAAATGATCTGACTGCTTAGAATAATGACTGCCCACCAGGGAAAGCAAACCTAGCATAGACAGTGTGTATATGGATAATTTGTTCAAAGGCAAAAGCAGACCAAGAGATGGAGCGCATGAAGACTCCTTCCACAATTATGTTGCCAAGTGCCTTTAGGCTTCTGAATTAATTTGAAACATTTGAGGCTTTCAGACTGCATCATATTCCATATGCTAGAGTCAAGGTCTGACTGCAGTAAAAACTGTACTGAACTCAGCCTCCTGCTCAGTAACAAATGGAAATTCACTTCAGGTACTTCTGTCAACTAGCTTTTGGTTGGAAGAACACCTAAGGAGGCAAAACAGCTTGAAAGAGGTAGGTGACAGCAGACCCACTTAGTCAAATGGAGTTTCTTCTTCTCTGTAGAGGGGAAGATCTCTTTTGTGTTGACCCTTCTCTAAGAGATATAGATAAATGAAGCAAATTCTTTTTCTGGGCTGGCAGACTTAGCAAAAATATAACATGCACTTGGTACAAGCGTTCTAGAAGCAGAATAAGCTGTGGCAGAAATAAAAAGATATATTCTGCTGTTCTATCCTTGCCCTTCCTTTTCATTTATTCAAAATGCCTTTTTTTTTCCTTTTTCCCCCCCCCAAATTTCTGATGGCTTAGCATTCCATGCAAACTCATCACATGACAGATCCTTATTTCTTTTTTCTGGGATTTTTATCAGCAGTCTATGAAGAATGCCCATTTTAAAAGTATTTACATGTGCTCATCATGTCACATTATTCCTTTTTAAAAATGTTTTACAGAGTTCCTTTCCCATGTTTCCTTGCCAGAGTGACCAAAACATGGAAACATACATACTGCCTCTATTGGTTTACATTTCATTTCCCAAAATCGCAATAGGCTTCCTCATCTCCTCTTCAAACAAATTCTATTTTAAATGCCATTTGTTTAAAGCACACTGTATGTAGAGGTAAAACTGAGTTACACTGAAACTGATATTCCCCTCTCCCCACCCCTCTATAAACAGTAGATGCAGAGGAACTGCTCTAAATGACACAAGATACTCTCTGAACAACAGGCTAAAAATTAAGTTGAATACAACCCAAATATTTTCAAATATCTGAAACAGTTCAGCCAGCTTTTTATCTTCCATATTTCATGTCATGAAGTGAAAACAGTTAACTCTGTAGCCACAAAACAGAGACATCAGTCTTACAATATTTGATATCAGAATCTTTGTAATATCATTCTGTCATCTTGTCAATATGTACTATACAACTCATACCTGTTAGCAAAATGTTGTATATAATGCTGTTTTGCTCTGTCCTCCTCCCTCTCAACCCAATGTGGCATGAAATGTTACCCATTTTTCCTTCTCAGAACAAAAAAAATTATGTCATGAGATGAAAATAAAACTCACCTGAATGAAATGGTTTTAGCAGCTAAGAAGTATAGATGCACTCTACTGCTTGCATCTGTATTGCACAAACGAACAAACAGGACTTGCTTTTATCTTTTTGACTAATGTCATACAGGTCACTTTAAATGGTTCAGTCACATACATTACCAGAAAGAAGATTGCTCTGTGTACTTAAAGACTATGTGCAGGGTGGCAAAACTAGTCTAGTGTACAGACATGCAATCTTGTAAAGTGCCATTACAGCTGGCAGTAGTAACCTGTAGGGCTTAGAGTAAGTAAGTTTAATGTACAGAGCCGGACAGACCTGATTTAATTAAACATATCCTGTTAAACAGATGTGCTGCTGAGTACAGAAATTACTTTTATAATTAAATCCTATAATGAAATCATATTTTTTCTTCTCTCAATCATTTTAAAGCTATTCTTAGATTTGCATTGCGATCAAGCTGCAAATGTGCCTTATTAAAATTATTTCAAATTAATAAGCACATTTGATATTTTATGCAGTCCTGACTAGTTCAGCCTCTATGCTTTTGATAGTGTACATGTAACTGAAGCATTTCTGAAATTAGTAACAGAAAATAGAGAAAAACCCCAAAATAATAACAGTTTTCATTTCTCTACATCTCCAAAGAATTTTAGGATTCTTCATTTCAATATTGTGGAAATAATAAAGTCACTACTGTCAGACGAATCAGCTTGACAGAATTATTATTTCATACCCATGCTAACATATGCATGTTCTTGTCACTTGTATTTTCATATCCTACCACAGAATCAAACACACAAACACAGTATTTAGTTTACTGAACAGGCATCTGACCTCTTACTCTCCCTTATTGCTTTGTCTCCTTTCTTCCAAGTGATAGTTGGCTTTGGAGAGGCTTGTGGCTTGCACTCAATGAGAACTTCTTGGCCCTTGGTAATAATTATTGTTTTCCTCATTTGATTGAGTGGGAAAGTGGGAGCTGAAGCTGTTAAAAAGAAGTGTGTTAACTCTACACAAAACAATCACAGTTTCCTTTTTCATTAAATTTTAATAGAAGATTAGAATAATAACTTTGATTTGGAGGAAATTATTACACTGCGGATTTGATGTAATTTTACAAAATATTTAAAAACAAGCAGGAGCCAAGACTAGGTGACAGATCTACAACTTAATCCAGTTATGAATTAGTGAGATGTCCCTTACATCAGAACCAAAGTAAGATCGCTTATGAAATTCAACAACTTTAGAAATTAAATACTATAGCTGATTTAGCTACTCTTTTTTCCAAGTGTTCGGATTTCATGGACAACTTCTTAGAAGTAACTAGTTCAAAATGAAAAGTCTAAATTCCACAACTATACCAAATGCACTCTCTAGAGTTAATTCTGATAAAAACTATTACTTAGAGGAATTTTATTGTTTTTTTTTTATTGCACAGTATTCTTCTGAAAACTTTCAATTGAAAAGTGACAACACAGTAAAGGATATTTAACTATGTCTTGTTCTTAGCATTTCACTTTTCAAGAAGTCCCACTGATCACAATACATGATAAACGTATTATAAAATTACAATACGTAACACACATGTCCCAAAATGACACTAATTACTGTGATTTCA